CATTGTATGATATCATTGTGTTTGTGTTTCTTGGGGGGGTTTTTCCCCGCCGGGGACCTAGTAGTAGTAGTAGTAGTAGTTGTAGTAGTAGTAGTAGTAGTACTACTACTACTACTGCTACTACCCATCTTGTTGTTCTTTGAGGGTAGGTTTTCCTTCAGGTTTTGGACATTATGGTCGTAGTGCACACGCACGAAACACTGGCATTTCCGGTTTTTCTGCATGTTTAGCATGTTGACATAGGTTTCGTAACCCATTACGGCCTGTGCGCCATGACCTATGTTTTTTTGTAGATGGGAGTTGTTCGTGCCCAATCGATCCAAGGATTCAAAGATTTCTGATCCAGATTCTACAGTCGCTCCATTAGTCCAGGGCACGCTCCGTTAGTCCAAAGGTTTGAGGAGTTCTGAGTTGAATTTTATAGTCGCCCGATTAGTCCAGGTTACGCCCCATTAGTCCAAGCGTTGAGGAGTTCTGATTTCAATTTATAGTGCCCCATTAGTCGTTTTGAGCCAGTCTTACGGACCCGACGAGCTTGCATGGCCTTCTGCGCCTTCTGTGCTTTCTGCTGCGCACACAGCTTGGCTTTCAGCTCACGGGCCAGTTGCCCTGCATAGCTGGGGCATGTTTCGGCTTTGTGCCCAGACTTGGAGCACAGCCGACAAAATGCGGCATGGCGAAAACCACGAGACTTCAGGAGCTGAAAATATGCCGGTTATGGCGCTTGGCTCGGACCCCGTCTAGCTGCAGGAAACCGCAGCAAGCGTGTGGCGAAGACACAATGCCATAATAATGTACCGCCACAAAACAACACGGCGCGTATTACTCTTATTATTGTTATTACTATGACTGCTGCTCTACTACTATTACTCTTACTACTACTACTACTACTACCACCACCACTACCACTACCACCGTTACGAGTATCTCGACCGTTACGACTAGTACGTCTACTACCACTACCACTACTGCTAGTCCATGATATCTAGCACTACTGCGCCTTCTCCGCCGCTACCACGACCACGACCAGCGCTACAACTGCCGCAGCGGGTTCTCAACATTCGAGATATTGATTGGGATTTAGTATTTAGGATTTAGCGCTTAGAGGTTACGAAAGGTGCGCGCTGGATGCAATAGGCATGGTTCCCGCCGATGAGCAAATTGCCCGTGAGGTGTTTCTGTTTACCAGAAGCTGGACTCTGGTGCTGGGACATTGGGGAACAGTTTGGGCCCTGGGATCCTGGGTCCCGGGTTAAAGCTCCAGACTTCAACTTTCAGGTTGCTAAACGGGACGATTTGGGGTCTTAGCTTGTTGGACAGTAAGAATCCCGAAGCCTTAAAGAATCTAAACATCAGGTTTTCGCGTCTGGATCATTTTTTCGGAATTGTTTTGACGAGCATGTCGGGGATTGGAAAAATTTGCCCAAATATTTCGGCTTTACGTACACCATACACCTCTGAAATCTTTCAGTGAGCTAACAAGGCTCATCGAATCATGACCCTCCTTTAGGATAGCCAACAGGACTGTCCTACAAGTATGCGGTTCCGGGTTTAGGTGCTCTCGAGGTTTCCCTAAATTGGCTGCTTGGCATTCTACGATTCAGCCATGTCTGCAGACGTCGGGGTCCAAAACAATTCCAAAGCTTTTGAATCACAAGGAACAGAGGCTGTTCAACGTTCTGTCAGCTGGCGAAGTTCAAGGGGTTGACTTTGGATTAGTGAATTCCTGGGAGCCTTTGCCAGTCAGATTTTTCCCGAAGCTAAGAAAAGATGTGTAGGCTTTGTTGTTGGGCATACTTGAGAACTTAACTAGGGAGCAGAGCTGGTTGCTCTTTGGCCCACTCCGTGTCATATTAGTGGACATTTTTTCCGGAACCTTGAGGTTGTGGCGCCGTGTTTGGAGCCACGTGCTTAAGCTGTGGAGACATGGCTATTTGAGTTTTGAGCTCTAATTTACCAGGATACCAGAAGAACTCTTCCAACCAAAAAGTCAGGCATCGTGTTTACGGATGGCAAGCGCTTCGACGTCAAGGGCACTGTGTCTAGCGGCGCACCACCAGAAGATGCGACAGCTGTTCCTCGCTCAGGATTTGGGGATTGTGGTTTCAGGGTTGGTTTAAGCCTTCTGCAGAGTCTTGAGGAGGCTTAGGGTTAGTAGTTGGGAGTGGGTAGAGTGGCGGTACTCCTTTTGCAGGGTCAATGGGAGCCTCCAGGCCGAGTAGATACATCCTGATGCTATGAATTCATCTCATCAAAACCTTGGAGGTAAAAGTCTTCCACTATTGAAGATGGTTCTTCCATGAGGATCTTTTTGTTCTCTTGGCGTCCTACTGAGGGTTCTTGTAGAAGAGGAACGGAGGACACCGACAGCACCTACTACTTATTTGCTTGATTTTTTTCCTGCTGGTTCAGAGTTTCAGGCTTTGTTTGGGCTTTAGGATTCCGTGCCGGGCTTTAGGGTCTAGGACTAGAGTCTAGGATGAAGGTCAATTTTTAAAATTTGGGTAGAGGCAAGGCTTGAAGGTTCTGGACTTTTCGGGATGTTGGTTCGGGTTTGAGATTGCTTTTTTGGGGAGTCCGCGGGGAGGATCCACCTCATTCTGAAAGCCGCAAGCCCAAACTGACAATCCACGAATGGCCTTCAGCAGGGAATTTGAAAATCGGGTCAGACGGGTTCCGCAGCCCAATGAAATGCGGCAAGAGCCCCTGCAGCTACCTCTGAACCCCTCCACTGCACCTAATTCCTGAGCCCTGAGTGTTCCACCCAAAGCAAGAAGTTCTAGAGTCAACTCTCCACAAGTTCAAACTTCATCAGTAAACTTGTTGAAATCTCAGCGTTCACGTCTCGTTGATTTGGGCACGTAAGTCCTCTCCCTGTCCAAGACCTACCCTCCTGGGCTCCGAAGTGACTTTCGCTTTGTGGGAGCGTCGCTGACTGTGGCTTTGCTTGAGTTAAGAAGGGAGACAGATCTTCGGAGGGTTCAGTCGGTCCCCCTAGCGCAAGTTAAGGGGTTTGCACGGGCGCAGTTTTCAAAAGTCATGCCTTGACTGCGGCAGCTAGGTACTGTAGTAGCCTAAATACAAACATTTTGGTTTCATATTTCTTGTATATTTGTAGCATAGGATACCTCACATAGACCTCAACATGGTGTTGGATATTACTACGGACCCTACAGTAGCTGGGCACAGACCAGAGGGCCCTGGGTGGGGTTCCCAGTACAATGTGATTCTTGGTTTCTTCAAGGTTTTCCATTCACTAGCTGCTCTCTTGCTACCCTGATTCGATGGCTACCCCTATCTAAAAGGCAGCGTGATCTTGATTTCCGGGTTTGAGACTCTCAACTCTAAACTGAGTGAAGTTGAGGTGTCATTCCTAAACCATAGTCTCTATTAACGGAAGGCTGGCAGTGTGTCAGACCGGGGGTTTCCCGTGCTTGGTGTTCCCGCAACACAAGCCCCCTTTTGGGGGGTATAAAGACGGCCTAAACCCTAAACTCCGAGTTCTGAAATGACAGAAGCCCAAGTAGAGAGTCATACTGTTCCGTTCTTTACACAAATATGACTCGAGTCATCTGTGAAACCGCAAAGCACTTCCCCAAAACTGATCCTGCAGAAGCTGGAGAAAATCCTAGGTCCGAAGCCCCAGGCCGTGTGCTCAAGGGCTCAAATTATCGCTCGATTTCATTTTCCATTGTCTTTTCCATTTGCTTCTCCATTATTGGCATAACGTATCTTCCCATCTATCCCCATATATCCCTATATACCCGTATATACCCTAAACCCGAACCCTAAACTACACACACATACATATGTACACATATATATATATACACGTATATACATAAATCCCTGTATAACCCTATGTACCAAGAATATAAGAAGGGCCAGGCCGCAGGTCTCACTCACCAGGTCTGATACTCTAAACCCTAAACCTTTACATACATATATGAGCCATAGTCTAAACTCCTTAAAGAGGGTTATATGGGGGATTATACACGGAGTACTACAGGGGTTATTAAGGGGGACACTAGGGGTTTAGACTATGGCTCATATGTATACACACACCCCCATATACCTCTATATACTACTATAATAAGGGCCTCAGGTCTCACCAGGTCTGATATTGCCGCTGCCGCCCTTTGGCCGGGAGCTTGGGATGATGGTTCCAACCACCGGACTGAAGAAGTGAAAAAAAGATGGGAAACAACTTCATCTTTAAGGGTTTAGGGTTTAGGGTCTAGGGTTTAGGGTCTAGGGTTTAGGGTCTAGGGTTTAGGATCTAGGGTTTAGGGTCTAGGGTTTAGGGTTTAGGGTCAGGGGGAAAGAAGGAATGGAGAAGACAATGCACACTACTCGGTTTGTTTGGGCTTAGTGATATTTCCGGTTTTTGCATCAGGATGTGGAATTGATGGTGAAGAGCTTTCGGGTTTAGGGTTGAGGAGTCCTTGCTGGCCCCAAACCCTAAACCCTGAACCCTGAACCCTAAACCCTGAACCCTGAACCCTAAACCCTGAACCCTGAACCCTAAACCCTAGGAATTTCCTGGGCTTCTTGTGTTCTGGGCTCGAGATCAGTGCCGCTCCCGTGAAGAAGAGGAATTCCGAAAGTTCCAGTTCCCCGTGACATTATTGTTGGGGACATCTATAGGCTTCCATTTAAAGAATAAAGATGATGAATGGCAATGTATATGATTGCAGTAGGTTGGACATTATTGTTCTGGACTCATCCCTAAACACTAAACCCTAAACCCTAAAGGGTTCCTTGGAGCCCCACGCCGTAGAACCTAAGCCACAGACCCTTTGGGATCCCTTCGTATAGTGGCATTTATTCGGGAAACCCTAGGTCCACAGCCCGAAGCCTACCAAACACCCATAACAATGTCCTTTGATCCCAACATAGCGGGTATTTGGGAGGTCTGGGTAGATGTTAGGCTGGAATTCCCAATAGGATGGAGAATATCATTTGGATCACAGAAGGGGGACCCGGATTTATGGAAACATTTTCAGATCTTAAGCGCTAGAGCAATCCTAGGCATTATTGTTGTTATTACAACTCCTGCATGATTCTTTAATATGAATCCCACTACTCCCAACAAGCCTTAAACCCTAAACCCTGTCCCGAGACATAACTTGGGTTTGGCCGCCGCCGGTTAACAGAGGTATGTTAGGAATATGGAGAGGCCTTCATATAATGAGCCTACTTGGATGCCCATGGGACTAAGTAACTACTTATAATTGGGCCTATAACCTTAATTATAATCACCCCAGATGGGCTTACAGGGGTTACCCCAATTATAAGTAGGGTTATAGGCCCAAGTATTAATAGCTACTAAGTCCCATGGGCATCCAAGTAAGGTATAAGATGCTTGACAAATCTAAACTTCATTCAGGTGCTGGCTGGTTTGTGGTGGACTCAGCAGCGGCAGTGGGGTGGAGGGTGGTGGTTAGGGAACCCACATATGCAGCTTATCATTATTCTTATCTTCATGTTGGGATTTTTGCATTCTTGTGATACGGAGCTTAGATCTGTTGGGCCTGAGGATTTTGGGTCGGGAAGTTTCCTCCGTCGGCTTTCTGCTGGACTGTTTTGGATTGTTATTGGCAGCCTTGCTGCATGAAATCCAGGCAAGCTGCACACATATCAGGTGGACCCTCCCACTCTGTAATAAGAGTGGTAAAATAGGAATATGCCAGGACCCTAACAAAACCACCATTGTGCTTTATAGTCGCTATTACTGGTGGGGGTCCACCTAAGACGTATCAGGTCCTAGCAAGGAATGGAAGATCACACAGCAAAAGAGGGAAATCACATGGAAACTATGGGGTGCATGGAAACTGGGGGGTGAATAGGGACAGTGAGAGATATATAGGGTTTACGGATTAGGGGAGTGTTGTAAAGGGTTGTAAGGGATGATATCAGGACATCAACGAGAAAATCCTTGGACAGACGATGGTACCTCCGTTGGGAAACCTCATCATACATTATAACACAATCAGAACGGATTATAAGGATCTATTCCTTCATTCCTAGGTAACCAAAGGCAAGTTTTGGGTGAGATGGTATATGTTGCGGCTAAGTGCATATGAGGATATCGCGCTTTTGTGTATAGGTTGTGTTAAGGGCACATCGATATAACGTTTATTCACTACTGTCTGCGTACCTAGGCCCTCCGTTCCTGCTAGGACAGTGGACAGTTGGCATTCCCACAAAGGGTCCCCTATTATAGCACCAGCTCAACCTATCGTAGAAGACGACCTCCAGGGCGACCATAATTTTGACTGCTCATCATGGTACTGGTTTGGGTACGCAGCCATTGGCCATTCAGGTGTCCGTCTACTTGGATGACAACTTGCGAGTGAATCGCGACTCACGCGGTGATCTTGCCATATATTTACGTGCTTAGACCGAGATAGACACTTGTCATGCGATGAGACAAAAGTCGCAGCAAAGACAGGTGCGTCTACAGCGTCTATGACTGCCTTAAGACTGGCTCGCTTGGGCTACAGGAGAGACCACTGTTGAGTTTCAGGCATTATCCCATGTAGTGCAAGGATTGCGAATGAACGATTCCCTCAGAAGTCCCAATTCAGGCATGCCTCAAAGCAACGATGCTTCTCTGGAGGGTCCTATTCAGAAATGGCTGCTTTGGCTTCATACTGAAGAGTTTGAGAACACGACGTTACGATAGACAGGCTCAACTTCATGCGGTGAATTCGCCCCAAGATGGCCAGACACAACCTACAAGTATGACCCCTAAAGCTGAACCCAGCTTCCAGTTTGACCGGGGCAGGCCTGAACCAGGGCTTTCGTTCTGTTTTGAATACCTCGAAGTAAGGTTTCCGAGGAATAGTGGCAAGTGTATATGTGACGTGAATTGTCCCGTGGCAGAGCTTGTAGTACATTCGGGTGTATGTGGGGGGACCCTAGACTTTGGAAACTCCCAAAGTATCGTAATAAATACAGAGAGATCGCGTAGAATCTGAAACTTTGAGAAGCATGCATAATACCAATGCACCTAGCAGGCGTGTAGTTGCCAAACATCCTAGGGACTTGTTTTCATTTAAGACGATGGGCCCCTAGTATAGGCCCTTAATCTTGGGGTTGATAATTACCTGGCACATACCCTACACCTAAACCCTAAACCCTGAACCCTAAACCCTAAGCCCTGAACCCTGAACCCTGAACCCTAAACCCTAAACCCTGCAAGGGCGCCTACCATCCCGCCATGAAGGCTGAGTCCCATACAGCCAACCGTAGGCTCATTGGGTAGTTCCCAAAATTAGGGTCCCATTTTGGGTGCCTTTAAAGGGGGATATTGGGGTTCCATAGGGGTATATAGGGGTTAGGGTTTAGGGTTTAGGGGTCGAAGGATACGGGGTTCCTCCTAAATTTCGGGCAATGGAAAAGAAATTGGAGGCTACCATCTAGGGTTTTGAGTTTAGGGTTTAGGGTTTAGTGTAGTTTCCAAAATTAGGGTCCCGGTTTGGTACACCGGAAATGTTTTTACAGAGGTGCTGCCCCTAGGTGGGGAATTTTAAGTCATATCCAGTCAAATTCCAATAATCTCCCCTGTGAGTGACGTTATGCTAACATGTCGTAGTTTACCTTGACCACAGCTACCCTTGAATCTCTTGCCCCCGGCCACGTAGTGCCATCATTCAGTGTATTAGCGGCGGGACTTTGGACGGGGTGTGGTGGCATTGCCTTGAATTTCGCCTATGCCCGGCAGTAGTTCCAGCCAAAAAGAGAGCGTATCACACTGCCTTCCATATAAACCAGCATTCCTTGACCCGCGCCTGGGCGGCAAGCATTTCTTTTGTGTGTTGTGGCATCCATGGGGGCTTATTCGTTCTTCAGATTCGGAATCAAGGATCGACTATCAATAGGACCCGCTCAAGAAGGATTGTTTGAAACCTCAACTTTATAGTCCCCCTTATGTAGATAGAATATAGCTTTGGGCAGACTATGATAAGATCCCCATATATCCCATATTCTATCTACTTAAGGGGGAATATAAGCCCAAAGTCCTCAAGCGCCCATGCGAAGCTAATGCCAAAGCTGGCCTGTGGGTTGCTAGGAATGAAGGAATGGACCCTTATGGTACTCGCTAAATACGGTTTAGGGTTTAGGGTTTAGGGTTATAGTAGTTTCCATTTTCTTTTCCATTCCGCCATGCCCAGCTAACCAAAGGCCCCTGAACCTTGCATCTGACTCAAGATAACGACGGAAGTTCTTGGGATGCTAAAGGCGAGGCTACTGTAAGCCTTGTTTTTAGTTTTTATGGAACCGCTCATTTTGGGGACATGTACTTTCAAAATGAAGCACATATGCTTCCAAAGGTGGGATAAACCTAATTAACCCCCAAACCACTCAGCTGTGAAAGCGCCGGGTCTGAATATGGGGTTACAGTCCCCCTTAAGTAGATAGAATCTGGGGCATATGGGGATCTTGTTATAATATACCCAAAGCCATATTCTATCTACTCAAGGCGGACTATATTTGGTATTGGATGAGGTTTCGGTTTGAAGCATGCAGGGTTTAAGGTTGAGGGCTCAGGGTGAAATTTTCAGACTTCAAGGCTTGGGCGTTCAGGGTTGAGGTATTCCGCAGGCATTTGTGAATTATGTGAGCTTTCTAGAGGGAACTGAGGAGGTATAGGATTCTTTGAATCAAAGACCCAAGCCATAAAACCCTGGACCTGAACCCGCTGATCCAACCACAACAAATCGCGAAAGGGTTGCGAAGCGATGGCAGCTGTGGAGATTTCTGGGATTGTACGTAGAGGCGACAGGTAGCGGTTAAGCTACGCGTTCTTGAAGGTAATTTTGACTTAGTAAGTCTTCTTAGTAGCAGGGGTTATGGGATTCATGATGGGGATTCTTGGGGACAGTGGGTAGACCTACTAAGTCAAGAGATCGCGCAAGTTGGGGGCCCTTCAGTTTAGGATGCCTAGCCTGTTCCCAAACCCGACGCCCTAAGGCCCTTCACTCCAAACCCAAGGGCACCTCTCTGCCCAGATATGTTGTACAACCATCCACACTGGCGAGGTTCTTCAATGCTAGCCGTAGAGGGTGACAAGCGGAGGACAGTAGACCCACTAGGGTAAACTGGCTGGGCCGAAGGAGTGTGGGAGTAACCCTTGTAGCTTAGGGTTGTTGCCATATTCTTGCAATGAGCCTCGGGAATTTTAAGCTGCAGCTTATGCTGTGCAGAGACTCGTGTACTTTCTGCGTTGGAGGATAGCGGCTTTGTAGTGAAAAGCAGCTGTCAAATGGATGTCCGCGATGTGGCTACCTACGATGACCACACACAGCCTTCCGTCTACCTGTCTACGTGCAGGCCCCCAGGAGTAGAAGCAGGCACGCAACAATTAGGAAAGGGTTGGGGGTGCTATAACTATATTTTCATTGCTTTTATTGCTATTGTCACTACCAGTATTATTCTTTTCATCATTACATCCATTTTTTTAAAACTTTTATCACCAATAGATGTGCACTGAGTGGCAAAACTCTGCGCCCCAAGCTCTGAGACGGCAAAGGGTGCAGGCTGAGTTCTTGGACAAATGCTAGTACTAGTACTAATAGTACTTGGATGCCCATGGGAACTTAATAACTACGTATAATTGGGCTTATAACCTTAATTATAATCAATTATAAGTAGTTACTAAGTCCCATGGGCATCCGAGTAATAGAAGAAAAGTTGGACTGCTGTAATTCTTCATCCCCCAGCTTCCTGGAAGTATGATCCTCGCATAGCCGTGGATCCCCAAGGATACTCCCCGCCCTATGTGAATGGGTTTAGGGTTTAAGGCTCAGGGTTTCCCTTATGTGCATGAGACCCTACGCGGCGCCCGCCCCGCCCTAAACCAGCCCTTAAACCTTCCGCAATAAGATCTAAGCCTCACATTTTACCTGGTTTCTCCAAAGCATAAATTCTAAAGCTTAGATCGTGGACTGCCAAACTTTTAAGGCATAAAGACACAAAGACCTAAAGCCCGGGACCTGGCATTCTAAAACTCCCAAACCCTTAAACTGCGAACCCTTAAGCCTACTCCTCACATCAACTGAGGCCTGAGCCCATTAAGTGGCCAGGACATGCCTCCTGTCTTCATATTGTTACTATTATTATTATTATTAGTATTATATGATTATTATTATTATTACTATATTATTGTTACTATTATTATGATATTATTACTATTATATTTTAGGGTGGACTTCGGGGCTTTCAGTGTTTAAGCTGTTGGGCTCCAGGGTGTAAGGTTCAGGATTGATGGGGGTTTTGGGTTGCGGATGTAGAGATTTAGGTTTGGGGACTAATAATGATAATGTTCGTCATAATAGTACTATATTAGAAATCATAGTAATAATAGTAGTAATGAGGATGGGATATGGGGTTTAGAGTTTAGGGTTTTGGGTTAGAGGAGGTCTTTGGGCTTTTGGTTATTGTTTAGGGGCAGGTATTTTGGAGTTTTGCCAAAATTAGGGTCCTTTCGCTGACTTTCTGTGCTTTTGGCGTTTCTGCACGATTTCCCGTAGGGGCAAACCCTAAACCTTAAAAAGTTGACCCGGAACCTGCTCGAGACTCTCCCACGGGATCGCGCTGGGGGGATGTGTCGTTCTGGGGTCTTGTTGGTGTGGCTGTCAAAAAAGGGTATCGTTTACAGAGCCTTTTGGTTTAGTGTACCTGAGAAAAAAGTGGCACGAGTGTGCGTATTTCCAGCTACCCACATTGGCTTCTAGGGTTGTCTTGCAAAACTCATAAATAGGCTTGATGGACATAGCACAGGGATTGCGGAAAGCACCATGTGTAGGGGCTTATGCAATTGGAATAGGGTCTTAAGAGAGATTGTTGTTTGACGTGAAGTTGATACAGAAGCACATGGAACGTACAGGCCGTACAGGGGAACATTTCCAAGAGTTTTGCACCTAATGGAATCCCTGACGCTCAATGGTTTACTACCGCCTCCTTTACTCCCACAAGGTAATTCTTAAAGTCTGCAACGAATAACCCTTACCTAATCTTTGCCAAGACTCTGCCCAGATTAACATAAAGTCCCGCACGATCTCTGTTCAAAGGCAAATAGCCTTCATGGTCTTTTCTGTGGTTGCCTTCTACTTAGGGAAGGCTACTTGGAGGGTCAGGGGGACTCAAGCCTAGGTCAATAATGAGGATAACTAGGGTTACTATATGGCTTATAGGGGAAGTCCTCCTGACCCTCCAAGTACTCGCATTCCACTCCACTATGTCGCTGTGGAACCCGTGGAACGCTGAAGGCTGTGGAGCAAAACAATGGTTCCGAGTGGGGTTTGTTGAAGGAGTACCTGAACCCCTAAGCCGGAAACTCTATCCCCTAAACGAGTACATCTACCCAAAACCCCGCGTGAACCTCCAAGTAGGAGG